GGCTCCCGCGATCCTGCCGCCTCAGCCTTCCACGGGGCCGGAGCCACGGCGCGTGCTACCACGCCCGGCTCATCTCTCCTTGAGTGTCGAGACAGGTCGGGCCAAGCTTCCCAGGATGGCCTCGAACCCTCAGGCTCAGGCGGTCCACTCGCCTTAGCCTCCCAAAGTGTTGGGATTGCAGGCTGAGCCACCGAGCCTGGCTGTTTGTATTTTGTTTGTATCCTCCAAGAACCTAAGTGATTTCCCCCAAATAAGCACGTTATTCGACCTCGGGATGATTGACAGGCTGGGGCGGGTGGGGATATTCATAGCAGGCCTCTGGGAGGAGGGACTATTTCCCAAGTACAGCAGGTAACAGAACATCAAAGTCGTTCCCTCTTTATTTTATTTAAGTTGGGGTCTCACTGTGTTGCCCGGGCTGGAGTGCAGTGGGACGCTCACCGACACTGCAGCCTCAACCTGCTGGGCTCAGGCAATTTTTTTTTTTTTAGTTGGTGTCTCACTCCATCGCCCACGCTGGAGTGCTGTGGCACGCTCACAGCCACAGCCTCAACCTGGGCTTAGGTGATCCTTTCACCTCAGCCTTCCAAGTAGCTGGAATTGCAGGCACGCACCACCACGCTCAGCTGATTTTTTGTTACTGTAGAGATGGGGTCTTGCCAAGTTGCCCAGGCTCATCTCGAACCCCTGAGCTCAGGCAATCCTCTCGCCTCGGCCTCCCAAGGTGCTGGGATTACAGGCTTGAGACACCACGCCTAGCCCAATGATTTTTTTTTTTTTTTTAATTGTAGAGAGGAGGTCTCACCATGTTGCCCAGGCTGGTCTTGAAGCCCCGGGCTCAGGCAGTCCTCTCACCTCGGCCTCCCAACGTGCTGGGATGACAGGTATGAGCCACCATGCCCGACAAAATCTTTGCCTCTTTCGGTGGAGTTCCAGAAGCCACTGGATTCTCCCACCCCCAGGCCCCATGCTGCCAGTGCAGACACTGCTTCTCCTGTGCCTGGCTGAAGTCCGACTCCCAATTCCACACTGAAACACCCAAACGGGTGCTATCTCTGGGTGTTCATGGGTGCCGGGATAGGATCAGAGGTGACTTTTTAATTTTGTCTAAGGCTGTCCTGTATTTCCAAATGCTCCATCATAAACAGGTATGTGCTGCCATTTCAATAAGCAAATAAGCCAGGCTCAGTGGCTCAGCCTGTAATCCCGCGCCTTGGGAGGCTGAGGTGAGTGGATTGCCTGAGCCCGCGGGTTCGAGATCTGCCTGGGCAGGCGAGACCTCATCTCTACAATGAAATCAAAAAATTAGCTGGGCGTGGTAGCGTGTGCCTGCAATTCCAGCTACTCGGAAGACTGAGGAGGAAGGATCGCTGGAGCCCAGCAGGTCAAGGCTGCGGTGGCTGGGAGCAGCCACTGCACTCCAGTCTGGGTGACAGAGTGAGACTCCAACTCAAAAAAAAAAAGAAAAAGCAAATAAAACAAAACAGAAGTACCTACGAAGAGGGGAGAGCCCACCTTCAATCTGAGTCCCCCACACGATCCCAACTCCAGTCCCAGAGATAACCACTACTGACAGTTTTCTGAGGTCTCTCTGCCTTTAAAAAGTATATTCTAGTTGGGCTCGGTGGCTCAGCCTTGATTCCCAGCACTTTGGGAGGCCGACTGTGAGTGGATTACCTGAGCCCACGGGTTCAAGACCCGCCTGGGCAACTTGGCAAGACCTCATCTCTATGATATAAAAATTTAAAAATTAGCCGGCTAGTTTTTGATTTATTGTAGAGATGAGGTCTCGCCAAGTTGCCCAGGCGGGTCTTGATGTTACAATAGGAGAAACTTGTGTGTGTGTAGAAAGTCTGAGGGAGTGTGTGGGAACTCTGTACTTCCTGCCCCATTTTTCTGTAAACTGCTCTACACATCGGAGTCTATTAGATAGTTAAAAAAATAGTAACGGCTGGGCTCGGTGGCTCAGCCTGTAATCCCGTGCTTTGGGAGGCCGAGGTGAATGAACTGCCTGAGCCCGCGGGTTCGAGACCCGCCTGGGCAACTTGGTGAGACCTTGTCTCTACAATAAAAAAAAAAAAAAAATAAC